TTTACCAATTTTATATTTAATCCAATTTTAAAAACCAAATACAACTAACTAAAGTTCATGTAAAATTTTCCAACATAGTCAACTAAACTCCTAGAAATTCTAGCATATCATGGGTATACAAACTAATATGGTATCCCAAATCAATCAAACAATGACAACTCATTAAATTAGTCCACCTTATCATTTCATTAAATTCATTAAAAATATCTCAATGTACGTTAATGAAGATAGACTAACGGCATCTCTCTCATCTCCCTTTCTCACCCATTACATCCCCCAAATGCATTCTCTTCTCCAATCCTCCCCGAATCATCCCTTTCCTCCTCCACCCATTACTTTGTCTCTCAAAACAATGATGGCAATCATAAGCCACCTCCCTAAGAAGCTGGCCTGTATTAGATCCCATACTAATAACTTATTCCCCTTTAACCCTCAGTTTCCAAAAACTGTTTCACATTGATTGGTTATGCAATTTAGCCATTTGGGAACAAGGGGTGAGGGGATTTAAGAATTATTGAAAACCTAATGGAAATAAAATTGGATCATCGTTGACATCCCTCACCTTGTGTTGCAACATTTATGTCACATCCTTACAATAAAAATAAAAATAAAAATCTCCCGATTACATAGCATCTTGCTTACGAAAATTAACACCTTTATGCTTACATTACATCACCAAAAGCAAAACTTTTAACTTACGGTCAGAATGAAGGGAAGTAGAGGAGGCAAAACAAAAATTTCAGAATAAAGTTTTCGATGATAGGAGTTTAGGAAAAAAAGCAAGACAACAAGAGAAAGGCCAAAATAAAATTTTGAGAGGAATTTGAGATGAAGGGCCTAAGAAATTCTCCGTTAAATTGTGCTAAGCTATTTTACTAAAAGATGAGTTGGCTATTTAGTAAAATAGCTTAGCACAATATACCTGTGATATAGTATAATTTCTCACTAAACTCCTCACTTTATCAAGAAGGTACATTTTAGGCTAAAATTTCTAAATTGTAAACTCTTTGGAAAAGTGAGAGGTTCAATAAACTAAACAATTAAGGTTTTAGTTAGCTTCTAAGGTAGCAATTTCTAAGCTTCATACCAAATGGACCTTTACACTATGTTTGGATAAAAATTAGTAAAGGAAAGTGAAGGAAATGGAGGCAAAGTAAAGAGAGGGAAAGGGAAGGAGAGTAAAGGATTAGTATTAATTTTGTTTGGATAGATTAAAAAAGAGGAAGAAAAGGAGGGAGATATTTTTTTTTATTTAATTAAATAAATTAAAAAAACAATTATAAAATTAGTTAAAATTTGATAAATATATATTAAGATTAAAGTTAAAATATAAATTTTAATTACATTTAAAAAAAAAGCAAAAAAATAAAAATAAAAATAAAAATAAATCTAATCCTTCTGAATCCCCTTAAATTAGAGGAATTAAAAATAAGAGATTTGAAGGGAGTCTACCACCCTTCCATTTATCTCCTTCTCATTCATCTTCCATTAATGAAGTTATCCAAACAATATAAAAAAGAGGCATCTCCTTCACTCTCCTCCCTTTCCCCCTTAACTCCCTCAATCTGAAACAAAGAGTTAATGTTTATGTGCTAACACTCACCGGAGAAGCACCACAATGGATTTACACTGCATGCACACACACGATTTATTTATTTATTTCTTTATTTTGCTCTGATTCAATAATGTTGGTGTTGAGGTATTCTTGGTATGCTGAATGCATGGTTTTTAGGAGCTTATTCTTTCAAATGCTTAAATTTATCTATCCATTCCGCAAGTTATAACAAATTTTAGGAAGCTATAGAGGTAGAGGTAGTGAAAGAGAACTACCCATAAATATTCAAGTTTTATTTAAAACATGAAAAGATTATTTATTCACACAAAAAATATTCCCCCCAAACAGTCCCTTAATGTAATATGGGATTGCCAAATCAAAGCTAACATACAAACTACTAAGACCAAGTGTGCTAACAAATTCACTGAGGATCTTCCCATAATGTCGGCATGCATATACTCAATTTTCTCTGAAATATGAAACCAATTTAAGGTCTAAAGCTCACCATCCCATAGTTCATCCAGGGTTTTGAAGGGTCCACTAGGTGAGATGAATCCCTCATTAAGCAAGAACCTCCACTGCGGAATCTGGTTGATCTTCTCGTGATCCTCCTTAGTTAATTCCCAATCAAATATTTGCAAATTTTGCTTCATCCTTTCCTTGTTGAAGCTCTTAACCACAAAAGTTGCTCTTTGCTCATACGACCATCTCAGACAAACCTGCCAATGTCCCAAATATATATTATTAAAATCGCTGATATCAAAGAGTAATGTAAAACATGTAGATTTGTGTTTAAACAATGTACAAGAACCTGAGCAACAGTCTTTCCATGAGCTTTAGCAATCTCTTTTAGTGTTTCGTTGTCCAAAACATGATTGGAGCCCCACTTAGTACCACTTGCTCCCAAAGGCGAAAAGGCGGTCACAGTTACATTTATAGCCTTGCAGAATTCCCTCAGCTTCTTTTGTTGCCAGAGAGGGGTCATCTCCACCTGAAACAAGACAAATTCTCACTACCTCTTCTTTATTCATCTTTGTAACACCATTTTATAATCAACATCAAGCTGATCATATTGACTGTCAATAATCCATCAAAAAAGTTCCTAATGTGGTAAATCACACTCGAAAGCAAGTAATCCAATATTTATTGTGTCAAAACTACAAAACCATTCTAAACAATCCTAGTACTCTTTTATTTGCAACATGGGAAGAATGAAACTAATAAAATTAATGTCAACTACTCACTTGATTCACGGATGGTGGTATGGTGGCAATGGATAATATGTTTTCAAGCTTCTTGCAAGAGAAGTTGGAGACACCAATAGACTTGGTGAGGCCAAGCCTTTGACACTCTTCCATGGCACCCCACACTGA